ACTACTGCAAAGACCCCCCCAGGTGGGTGACAGGGGTGTGGGGGGGGGCACAGGGGGACAGAGGAGGGCAGGGGGGACAGAGAAGATGGGGATGTGGGGGTGGGGGGCACAGGGGGGACACAGGGGGGACACGGGGGGGACATGGGAGGGACAGGGGGAGGCACGAGGGGGCACACCCAGGGGTCAGTAGGGACGTGGTGGGGTGTTTTTTGGGGACAGGGAGGGCGGGGGGTTCTGGGGACAAGAGGGGATACACAGAGAAGATGGGGCGGACAAGGAGAGAGGGAGGACTTGGGGACAGGGGGGGGCACCCTGGGGCCACCCAGGGGGCGGTGGGGACATGGGGGGACAGGGAAGCCTGGGGGGGGACACAGGGTGGGAAGAGCAGCCCCCACCCCTGAGTGGGGCCAGGGAGGGGCCATGGAGAGTGTCCCTGACCCTGTGCCCCCCCCGTGTCCCTCCCCTGTGTCCCCCAGACCTGGATGCGGTGACACTGGGCCTGTCGTGTCTGCTGGTGGTGCTGCTGCTGGGACTGGGGGCACTGGGACTGCTGGGACACCACCGGTATAGGGGGGCACTGGGGCTACTGGGGGTGCACTGGGGCTACTGGGGGCGCACTGGAGCTACTGGGAGGGGCGCTGGGACTGCTGGGACACCACCGGTACAGGGGGTGTTAATTTGGGGTCCCAGGGGGTTCTGGGGGTGCCTGGTGAATTTGGGGGTCCCGGGGAGGTCTGGGGGAGGGTTGGGGGTCCAAGGGTCCTGGGGGGGTCCCATGCAGGGGGATTCACCCCAGGCCCCCCCAGGCTCCTAAGGGAGAAGCTGTGGCTGGGGGGGCTGGGGGGTGGGGGGGGGGGGGGGGGGGTCCTGGGGGGTGCGGGGGGGGTCCTGTCCAGGGGGATTCACTCCAGGCCCCCCCAGGCTCCTGAGGGAGAAGCTGTGGCCGCCGGTGCCAGGCCCCGAGCGGGAGTTCGAGGGGCTCTTCAGTGCCTATGGGGGCAACTTCCAGGTGGGGGAGCTTTGGGGGGGGG